AATACTGTCTCTATCATTAGTGATGATGAGAATATTCCATAACGTATGCTATTCAGTGCAGTAGTCACTACCCATATGTGATTACTAAGCATGTGAATTGTAGCTAATGAGATGGAGAAAATGAAATTCTGATTTCATTTAATTAATTTTTAATTTAATTTAAATCCACGTGACCAGTGGTTATTATATCAGATAATGCATTTCTAGATCCTACTTCTTCCTGAGCTCTAACCTCATGTACCCAACTGCTTCCTTGACATATCTGCCTAGATGCACTATAGTAAACAAAATTCCACATATCCATCATCCAACTCATTATCACTTTCTTCAGGCCAGCCCCTAATGTAGTTAATTCAATATCAACTTTGTCCAAGAGAGAATTATTCAAATGATTTTCTACTATTCATTCTGCTTCATGTTCCATATCCAGTAAATCATATATCCTGTGCATATCCAGTGCTAGAAATGTCTCTTAAATCTGTCTTCTCTTTTCTAAACTACACATCATCATTTCTTGCACACTACTACCAACAACCTACTCTTTAAGGAACTCTCAAGGGAAATTCACTGATATTAAGATAAAGTTAAAATTCTTAAATTCCTCAAGCATCACCTCTCTGGTGAATTCTTCAAGTCTCATAGAGGTAAAATCTTCATCCTCTTCCCTCCCATACGTTGCCCATATTACTATCATCTCTTTTAGTATGTTATATTGAAATGATTTGCTTACCTTGGACCCACTCCTGTATGTTAACTGTTTTTTATTTCAAGTGTTTTGCTTCATCCTTGGCTTATAGTAGGCTACTAGAATGCTTAGATATCTAATAACAATTTATGAGCTAAATGCTGATGATTTAGAAATATAATGAGAAAATTCTTAGGTGTAGAAGGAGAAATAAGCCTATTTCAAAACATGAATCCATGGTGATTTTTATTCATTTATTAAAGGATTAAGCAGCTAAGATTTATATTGGTATTTCATTCATGTTTAGTCTTTGGAAGAATTAGTTTGGTCTCTATGATAATTTAAAAAAACAAATGCTATTTTTTAAGGTAATTATAGAGGATAAGAAAACATCCTCAACATCGATTTAAGGTGCAACCCTTCAGCAGCTTTATACTGTACCACCTGACTGTCCCTGAATCCATGATAAATTACACATTTTGGCATCAATATTGAGACTTTTTCATTACTTTCTCAGTTTCATGCTTTATATCAAAAAGACAAATGCCAAGATAAATTCAAACTTTGTAAAACATTTTTTTTTTTTAAAGGACCTATAGGACAACATTGGAAAACTACTTACTAGGATTCAACTCACAGCTCACATCCCATGTATGAGTGTGGTTTATTTATTTTTAATTTATTTTTAATTCAGAAAAGCACTAATGATAAATTATTAAATTTTTAATGCTTAGAAATTGTAATTTAATTTGACAAATTATATTTGTGGTATATAACAAAGGTCTAGAATGCAGTTATTAATTTGGAAAAAACAACAGATTGTATTATATGAACATTTCTATAAGATGTATATTTTTGTATTTAATTAGATAACATTAAATATATGGTTGTGTTATAGTGTTGTGTATCAAGTTTAAACTTTTATTGGGAAAATAAGGAATAGTATCTTCAGTATTTCCATTGTTTCTGATATCTTGAAAATGTTTTAGTATTGATATAATAGCAATAATAACTGTGCTTTATCATTTTACAAAGTGTTCCTCATATTTCATATCATTTTCATAATTGACAGTGACAGAATTTAAACCTATCTATATCTTTCTATTCAAAATCCAGCACTATTTCTATAATATCACACTACTATGTGGATTATAATAAACATGTGATATACTGTGATAATACCACTATTATCCTTACTGAAACAAAATATTCTAAAGACCTCAACCCTTCACAAATTAAATTTTATACTCCATTTATGCACATTAACTTATCACTATATTCTCAGCATTTAATTAATTAATTTAGTTATATGCTTTCATATCTAAGTTGTTTTTTTTCCTCCCTCTCTTTTCTTTAAAGTAAAAGCTAAATGTAGAAAATGCAATTAAGGGCCTAATTTGAAGACATTAGCACTAGTATTCTTTAATGTGTCAATAATTATACTCTATTATATACATATTGCATTTCTGGAGAAAATGTACACACTATCTTTTCAATCTCAGAGAATCCTAGTGAGGAAATCCATTATGACTGTACCACTTTTTGATGTAGAAAATAAAGTTCTACTAAATAATATAACAAGTTGGGAGTCAAGATAGAACTAAAATCCATATTTCATAGTTTTGTGCTCTGGTGAACCCCTCTATATTTACACTTTCATTTATTGCTGATCAAAGAAAATATGACTTTAAAACAAAATATCTATTAAACACTTTTTTTTTATGGTTCAACAAGTTCCTATATTGGTGAAATAAGACTGAACTTCTGAAGCACAATTTCTTCCCTTGGCCTGAGTCTACAACATGAGTGGCTACCACAGGTAATGTGATGACTGGGGAAACAGTATCAACATTAGGTAAATATATGCCATCATTAAAAAATGTCATAGAACACCTGCTTCTGCACTTTAGATTTTAATTTTTCATACACATAGAATTCTTTCCACCATCCATTTAATGGGTTAAACATCTACTTACACGAGAAATATATTTGAAAATACATGTAGAAATTGTACAAATATCTCTGCATAAATTTGTGTCTTCTTTCAAATGGCCTCTTATTTTCTGTTTCACACTAAGTACTGATCTCATATTTATGTGTCAGGCCATATTCTATGCTCCCCTACTCCCTCTGATCCATCCATCCTTGCTTTCCAACATTCTCGCAGGAGTTGTAGGATGGCTGAGGCCTCATGTAGCAAGAATCAGTGAGTGTTTATACCTCTAAAATCAAAACCTTAGAATTTTCTCTGGCTAGGAATTTCATGTGCTAGACATTATCTTCTCATTATATACCTGATATCAATATGTTCTCAAACTTCCCCTTCTATAAAAATCCATGAATTTCCTGATCCACAGAGAAAAGCAGAAAAATTGGAGAAAGTATTATTCTTTCATTGCCCTAAAAATCCTCTAATGCTTTACTTACAAATAAGTAGATAAACCTAGGCTCTAAGTATCCATAACATTTGAACAAATATATACATACATACACATACATATAAACACACACACATCCTCATCCAAATGTATATAGATATATATACTCAAATATATATATATAGATAGATACATAGATATAAATATAGGTATCAGATTTGTATTTCTTTCTTTCTCTCTCCCTCTCCCCCCCCCCCTGAAAAGAATATAGTCTCTCTTGGCCTTTGGCTTTATTTTCTCCCTGTCTGTCTCTGACCCCCCCCCCCCCCCCCTCCCTCTTTCTTTGCACATCAGGAGTACAGTTAAGATTTTAAATGCTAAGGAGTTATTATTTGGGGGCTACATCTATTTTACTATATCCAAATAAGAATGAATAATGATCAGAGAATGGATATATTCAAAACTAAATCAAGGAACTAGATTACACTGGAAAGGAAAGAGCTACAAATGTAGTTAAAATTCAGAAATCTTGAGCTTAGGAGAATTTTATGTAAAGTATGGCCCAAACTCTACTTATTTTAAAAATTCAGAAAAAAATAAACGTACACATCCCTTAAACGCAAGGGTAGACCTAAAATTTTAGTTTTTGTATTCTGAGCTCATTCTATTGCCACTCATTGAGTTCAGTTATTTTACCACAATTCCTCTTTCTGAAGCAGAAAAACAGTCTTGTAAAATTTCACTAAGAAGATTTAAGAATGATTCAATCTTTCAACTAAGCATATATAAATATGGATTATTTTAAGTGTACTGAAATGCCAATATTCTGTACAAACTCTATCCCCCAAAGACTGGTTATGACTGGTTAAATCAATTGTTGGTAAATGTAAAAATTCACATAATGTCATATGATCTCAGAACATTAAACTTATTTGCTCCATACTGTAGGATTTAATTTTCTTCATTCTATAAAGTCACAACCAAGTATATACCATAAAAATAGGTATGAGCATCATCGAATAAAAGCAATTATTGTAAATTCAGTCTAACTTTTTCTTTAAGAAAAAGAGCCATTTTTTTTTACTGCAACAATAAAGTACCACAAACAACAATGTACCTTAAATACTGAAAAAAAAACTCTGAAGATACAGAAATTCAAAGACTCATTTTGTATTGCCCTTAATCTAAAGTAAAGGGAGTATACTTGAGAATATACCATAAGTCTACTTTCAGATTAAGAATTTTATTAAGAATTTATTTCAGTGGTATATATACAATGGGATACTACTCAGCCATAAAAAAGGAATAAAATTTTGCCATTAGCATCAACATGGATGGACTTGGAGGGCATTATGCTAAGTGAGATAAGTCAGACAAATACTGTATGATATCACTTATATGTGGAATCTAAAAAACACAACAAACTAGTGAATATAACAAAAAAGAAGCAGACTCACAGATATAGAGAACAAACTAGTGGTTACCAGTGGGGAGAGGGGACAGGGAGGATAAATAAAAGAGCATGGGAGTAAGAGGTACAACTATTATGTATAAAATAAGCTACCAGGATATATTGTACAATACAAGGAATACAGCTGATATTTTATAATAACTGTAAATGGAGTATAACCTTTAAAAATTGTGAATCACTATTGTACACCTGTAATGTACAAAATATTGCACAACTGTACTTCAATTAAAAAATAATTGATTTTTTAATACAAATCATCAGTTATTGGTCTGTATGATCTTGATTGAGTTGCTTATCATCTTGACTCCTTAGTAAAATAATAGGAGGTACTTGAAATCCTTTCTAGTATATTCTCCAAATGAAAATATATATATATTTCTCTTGATTGGTTATTTTCCTTTCCTCCTTCTACTAACAGAAAGAACAAAACTTTCTCAATCTTTTCATGAATGCATTCCTCTCCTACCTTGGTAATGGTCTCGTGAAGTTTGAAAAAAGGATCCATTTCTTCAATTTTTGTTGCACGTTTAGGGAAAAAGCCTTCAGAGAGAAAACTTGGACCCTGTGGAAAACCAGAAAATAAACATTCTAAACTCTTCATTGATTTTGTTTTTCAAGGGCTTATTGGATTTTCTTTAAAGATTCAAAAGGACTCTAAATTGCTGTAAGGTTTCTGTTGATTGTTGGACTTCATTCTGCTGATATAATTAACCAGTCACAAAATATTTATAAATTAAAATGATTAGACTTCTATAACACTTGACATTATTTGTATTTACCAAAGAATGTTTTCTTACTCAGAGGAGATCATTATTTGCTGTTCACCCTTTTATTTTTCAAATGCAGACTTAGTGTAGAGTAAGATACCTTGACTGCAAAACCCATATCTAAAACCCCTTCTCTATTTTATATATTAAATTTTATGCTTAAAGACTGGTAGAATGGAATGTTTTTAATAAAAAAAAATTCTAGGCATAGGCAACAAGATGCATAATATTTTAAATACTGCAAAACTTACTTCAAAACAATAGTAGGATATATTTTGAGTAGAATGACCTCATGGCTTTATGTGCTGCCAATAAAGTAGCAACGTTGTATCAGACCCTTAGCGTTAAGATGGTTGAAATGAATCAAGATATTGTAATTAATCATTCTGTACTTGCAGGTGCAGATAAATTTCAGGATACAGGAAGACACGGGATGCTGATAAGGTAGCTCTCTGCTATGGTCTGAATATTTATGCCCCCCCCCCAATTCATATGCTGAAATCCTAATTTCCAAAGTAACAGTATTAGGAGGTGGGGCCTTAGGGATGTGATTAGGTCATGAGGGCTTTGTTCTCATAATTGGAATTAGTGTCCTTATAAAAGAGACCTCACAGAGTTCCCTAGCCCCTTATGTGAGGATACAATAAGAATTCTGCCACCTGGAGGAGGGCTCTCACCTAACCATGCTGGCACCCTGATTTTGGACTTCCAGCCACCAGAACTTGAGAAATAAATTCCTGTTGTTTACAAGCCACTCAGTCTGTGATACTTTGTTATAACAGCTCAAATGGACTAAGACAGTACCTAAAACAATGCTCTTATAGTTATCAACACTATAAGTATCCTATGAAACAATTATTATCTACATATAATTTTCATTTGAAAACCTGAAGTAACTAAACTTATTTGTCTTAAAAAATATAAGATTGGGACAGAATATATGTACTTATGCAGGTGATAGATATATAGAAAGAAAGAAAAATAGATGATAGATATATAGATAGGTAAATTTTTCAAAATCTATCATGGGAAAGATAGATTAAATCAAGTCTACACCAACAATTACCACACAGGATAACAAATTTAATTTGAATTCTATTAGAACTACTCATTAGAGTAATCCAACAGCAGAACAGACTACATTGGGATATATCAATAGTGGGAAAGAAAGTTAGGATGCTGTAGTTGATAGACTCAGAAGTCATACACATGAGAAATGAAACCAACATAATTGTAAGTCTTCATATATTAAATAATTCTGTGATCAAGCAGATTCTTAACCCCCTATTTTGAAACAAATGCTGCGATTAAAAAAATTAAGTAATTTAGCTGTTTGCTCCAGCATATATGCACTTTTCGATAATAAGACCATGAATCAACCAAATAGTTTACCTATCAAGACTAACGCTTATTTGTCAAAACTTGTTTATGTTCCTCTCCTCATTTTACCCACCAATCTAAAAGTAATTTCAGAAATTGCCCAGTTCCAACAAGTATTCCAGTTTTTAAGACCTGCCATAAAACCACACAGCCAAGGCCTAAAATATCATAAATGCCCTTTCCTAATTTCTCCCCATTTTGAGAGACTACTAAGACTCAGTGCTATGGGTTGAATAATTCATATGTGAAATCCTAGCCTTTAGTACCTCAGAATGTGATCTTATTTGGAAATAGGTCACTGCATAAATAACTAAGTTAGAATGAGGTCATACTGGAATAGAGTTGGTCCCTAGTACAATGTGACTGGTGTCCTTATAAAAAGAGGAAATTTAGAGACAAATCTGTACACAGGGAGAAAAAGCATTCAAACATGAAGGCACAGATTGGAGCGATGTGTCTACAAGCCAAAGAACTCAAAAGATTGCCTCAAAATCACCAGAAACTGGTCAAGAGGCTTGGAACTGATTCTCTGTCACAGACCTCAGGAAAAACCAACACTGGTAACTCCTTGAACTGTTAAGACAATACATGTCTGTTGTTTAAGTCACTCAATCTGTCATGCTTTGTTATGGCAGCCCTAGGAAACTAATACACTCAGTCAAGGTGGTATTCTTCTTTACTGAAATAGGTCTAATACACTTAATTTTGTTTATCAACAGAGTTTTGTGGAGGTATTTTGGGCAGTCAACATAGAAATAGGTTAAAATTTTGGTTTTGCCACTTAACAGTTGTGCCATATTAAGCATCTTAATCTCCAAAGGATTAGTTACAGCATCTAAAAAACTTGGAGAATAACATATATTTCACAGAGATGTTGTGAACAGTCCAATCCTGCTACATAGGAGACACTATGTTAATAACATTGATGATGTTGCTAAAAACAATAAATATCGTAATAATGATGGTGAGGGTGGTAATGATGGGGTAATGATTATGGTATGATGCTGAACTAAAGGAAATCCGAAGACTCTATGTGATCCTGGGAGAAACAGTGTACAATTTGCATAGAGCTATCTCTGAATTGACTTTAGTGAAAGTATGACATGGACAATTTGCAGTATTAATTTTCATTTAATAATTAAGCTTGAAGTTCTTAAAAAGTTAGCCCCATGAGTAATTGTAAATCAAGTTGAAATAATTTTATCTGATTACTATACTTAGCAAAACAAAACTTCATAAATAGTGCAAAAGTAAAGTATCAGCAAGCCTCAAAATGAATGATCCCATAAGAATAGAAATTGGGAGTTATAATTAATGAGGTTTTTATTGAACATTCAATTATTCAAAAACAGAACATATTAAATTAAATTATCCATATGTGCCTTATTCTCTAATATAATCTCCTTCTCTTTCTGGTTTCTTCACCTCTTTCATCCCATTGTGTGTTTCTAGTGCTTCATTTTTATAAGCATTTAAAAAATATGCATTTGACAATTACTGTATGCCATGTCCTACACTAAATGCAGGATGTTGTCCTTAATCTCATGGAAATTAATCTAATGCGATTTGGACGATAAAAGATCTAACATCAATGTCTTTGAAAATATTAAGACACTACCATTCCTTTTCAATATAATAATCATCATTTATGAACAGTTATTTATATATCCTGACGTAAAAAATAATGAAAAGATTAAAAAGAAGAATATATGTTTTGTAAAAGATTTTCACTGCTATCAAATTAACTATGATTGATAGCTGTTTGATAATGGCTCCCACCTGTTGATGAACAGAGGAAAGTAAAACACCACTAACCATTTAGAGAGCACTTTCGTTTAGAACAATTCATTGATAGACTGAAATGAAAGAGTAAGTTAAGACATGCAGAACTTAATATTGTATGTATGTCACATGGAGATCATAGTAAGAATATCACAGAAGAAGTGATATTGATAAGAAAAGTCTATCCAGGATCTAGTTTATAATTCAGTGCCTCCCCAGTCTCTAAACTTACTTGTCCTTTCTGTAACATTTAACAATATTTAGCACACCTTTCTTCTTTCAACTCTTTTTCCTAAAGTCCATGATTTGACTCTGCTGGTTCTCCATTTATATATTATTTTCTACCTATAACTAGATTCTCTTTTCCTTTTTGAGCTTTTATTGTTTCTAGGTGGTCTACCCAATCTTCTCCTTATCACAGTCTCCCTAGGTGGTTTGGTCTACTTTTCTGGCTTCAATGACCAAATTCAGATTGATAATTCCCAAATCTTTATCTCTAGCTTAGTTCCTGTTTTTAGTTCATCATTTTTTGCCTACAAGAGCTTTCAGACACATCAACTCATGTTGCAAATCATGAGCATGTGTTCCCCCATTGTCACCTTAATTTCTTACCTTGGATAATAGCATAATACCTACATTTTACCCAAATGTGAAATTTTATGTCATTCTTGACTCCCATTTCTTGCAACCTTAGTACCACAGAGCTACACTAGCCAATTTCTTTCTAATCTATATGTTTAGACAATTCTCTACAAGTTCTTATTTGTTGCCATAATCCAGTTACTCATTACTTTCACCCAAACTACGGCCCTTATTGCCTGTAGAGGAAAGTCCAAACTCATTAGTATATTTCACAAACAAGTCCCAACCTATCTTCTTTCAACTTTAAACAAGTCTTTCTTTCCCATAAACTTATTTGCACTATTTTCATATAGCTCCTGCTTAAGTCACAGCAGTCTGACTGACTGCCACTGCCCATCAACCCTTTCTACTAATGATGTACTCAGGTAGCATCTTTGCTGAGGCCATTTCAGGCAGCCTATCTTTGTAACACGACAAACAATAATGCAAGCTTGCCAGCCAGGGATACTCACCATCCCTTGCTGAGTGATCTTTGGCAAAGCAACACTCCTGAGATGATTTCTCCTTTGTAAACCATGTGGCTGACAGGGTCTAGGTGCTCTGGCCAGGTGTCAGGCCTGTGCCTCTGAGGTGGGAGAGCTGAGTTCAGGACATTGGTGCACCAGAGACCGCCCGGCTCCACATCATATCAAATAGTGAAAGCTCTCCCAGAGACCTCCATATCAATGCTAAGACCCAGCTCCGCTCAATGACCAGCAAGCTACAGTGCCAGACACCCTAGGCCAAACAACAGGCAAGACAGGAACACAATCACACCCATTAGCAGAGAGGCTGCCTAAAATCATAATTAGGTCACAGACACCCCAAAACAACCAGCGGACGTGGTCCAGCCCAGCAAAAGGAAAAGATCCAGCCTCATCCACCAGAACATAGGCACCAGTCCCCTCTACCAGGAAGCCTACACAACTCACTGAACCAACCTTAGCCACTGGGGGCAGACACCAAAACAAATGGGAGCTACGAATCTGCAGCCTGTGAAAAGGAGACCACA